AGTGTCCCTCTATGGTTATCTAATGACAGGCCTCGCATATGGAGGTCCTCTTCTCAAAGATCAGAAAAACTAGCTTCTTTTTCTTGACGTTTCAGCCTATTCAGATTCTTTTCTTTTGTTTTTTTTTCATCTCATAGAGCAGACGGGGTTTGTAATATTCTAGTGTTTAATAAATGCTGCATTTACTTATGGAATTATCAACCACATCGACATGTAAACACGATAACAAAACCTAGAATTCCTACAAATTAAACAATGACAAGTTCCTCAAAAACTTACTTTCCTGTAATGCCTATAAGCAGTTTGGCCTGTCAGTTCTTGTCCATTTTTCGTGACATAAACCTGAATGAGAAAGTCACATTAACACATAAGGGAAGGAATGGGAAACAAATTCTACAAAAGAAGAAATCATGCAGGATGGACATGAGCTGCCGTGTTATGGATGCATTCCACATCAACATCACGAAACCACATTATGGATCCCTGCAGAAGAGAAAACTTAAGGGCAATAATGCTGGAACTTGACCAAAACAATGCAAATTATTTGATATTTGTACTAGCGCTGGAGCAATACATTTTTTTTTGGATAAATAATGAAAAGCAATAATTGATATTGCTCCAGCAATATAAATAATTGTATATTACCTTTCTACCATCTTCACCGGTATACCAATGGCCAGAAGAAACCCCATCTGCAGAAACTCGCCTTTTTCCAGCATCCTTCGGGGGATTAACTTCGCTTTTCGGATTTACCCAACCATCCGAAGTTTGAGGTGCCCTTTTAGCTTTTCCCTTGCTTTGAGTTTTTCGTTTCTTCTTAGAGCTGCCCTCATTTCCCTCATTCAAAGTACTACGCGGCTGATTTTGACCACCTCTTTGGCCAAATTGACTCCTGAGACATAAAATAACCAATCCAAAGAATGACCCTCTAGAAAAATGAAAGAATTTCCTTGCCAACATAAAGGAAGATGGAAAAAATTCACCAAATAGATGATATTTTGATGGTTTACATGTAATCAATGAGAACTTCATCAGAGCGGCAGTTTCCCCCAAAGTTGGCAGCACCAAGAGGACAAAAGTAGGGTAAACGCCTCCGCACTAAGTCCCTTATCCTTTGATCATCATGATAAAAGTATCCATAAGCAGGAGGCAGTGGATCTCCTACGTTATCATGCCGATGGACGATTTTATGGGCAGCATTTTCCTGAATATGATCGAAGCCATCAATCAAACAAGAGTCTGAAACAAACAACTTGGAAGTGCTGGAATTTGAATCTTCCCTTTGACATTGAACAGGATTTCTAGCATTGACAGTGCTGAAGTATTCCTTGCAAAACTCGTCCAAAGCCGGAGTTTTCAACTTCACACTTTCTTTTGCACTAAAATCTTTCCATAAAGACTGTGATTGAGGTATCTTCAAGTTCTTTCCACCCTTCTGTTCGTGAATCTCAAGCACAGAGTGGGAAACCTTCACCTGAGCTGAAGCAACCTTTTTAACAGATGTAGGAACATCCTTACTTGAAGAAGGATCATCTGAATCTGAATCCAATAACTGGAATTTTCTTATAGGACTGATGGTAATTCTTGGAAATGCCTTCTTATTACTGTTTCCATCAAAACTTGAAAGCAAAGAGGCATCAGAGGCCACTGACGGTTTCTCAGATCTTCTGTCATTTGTTAATTGTGAGGTAAGAACACCACGTCCATGGAGTGAAAGTCTTGAACTGCTACATGCAAAATGATTTTGCGTTGATGGATAGTCATCTGCTATAGAAGAAATCATGTGGTACATAGTCAAGCATAGACAAGGATATCATAGATTATTTTGAATCTTATTAAAGGAACCAATCCCCTGAGACAGGTATTAATGCTCCAATGAAAGACAGTGATAAACGAATGCTGCGAGTGTGTAGATCTCGCAATGAATGGTTCATCATTCAAAAATGCCACTAGTGACTTCCAAAGCTAGATGCATGAGCTCAATCACATGGATAGATAGACAACTTCTATACTTGCCAAAAAAACAACCAGTTACTAAGGCATGTGAGAGCAGGCAATTTTGAAATGAAATAAAAATAATCAGAGAAGTAAAATGGGTACTGCCCATTCAGGAAAACAAAGAAAACAAATGGGAATAAAAAAACCAATCGAACTTATAAACAAATAGAATATACTACATTCATCTTTCTACAAGGAATTCATAGAAAGATCGTATTAGCTCTTCTTAAGGAATATTAGCATGTTAGAATATCACATATCTGTGGATTCTCATAAGAGTATGAGGGCAGTCAGCCAGTACGACTCATAAATTATAAAGTAACCTCCCAGCCTCTTTTGCTCTTTGACCACCAAATGACAGGTTGCTCTGGAGACATCTTTGCATGAGGATTATCAGAATATCAGATGTACAAAAAAGAAGAGTAAGCCCAGAGGTAAGCGACCTTTCTAAATCATTAAAGAGTGATGAGAGAGAGACAACTTTTAAAGAATTCCCATCAATTACGAGTATGCAAGTTTCAAGAAGGACAAAAGTTTTAGTAAAGGCAGAGTCAAAGAAAATCCGAGAGCTTTCAAACAAAACATGACCAACTCTTTGGAGAATTTCTAAGAGCAAGTACGTCTAACTTAATGTATAGTCTGACATGGGCCATCATCCAAGAAGGAAGATTGAATATGGCACTCAACACACCCAATCTATTGAGATCTACCCATTGCCTGATTAGCACTAAGGGAAGATGATCTAAGGTGCCTAAGGATCCATGCACCCAAGAATAGGCATAGCTGTATGCACTCTCTAGGCGCTCATGACCTCAAGGATTCCCAAAGACAACTGCATCATTGTACTACACGCTCTTCCAACTTCCAATCATCCCAATAGATCAGCCAACGCACTTGTTTACCCGTCCATGTGTCTTTAGCACTAGTCCACATAGCATCTCTACCACAATAGCAGTTAAACATTTTGTTATATGAACTAGGCACATTTGCAATGGAAACTTTCTGTCAATGATGTTGTGAACCACTTATCCACCAAGAGACGATATTGCGTATAATTTCCAAACACATTAACCAATACCATTCTAAGTTTCTCCATGCTCAATGTGGCTTTGTAAGAGTCAGAAAGGCTTTCTAGGTAATTCGAAAGCCTGAAGTTTGTATATAAAAGGTTTTATCTTTGATGGTGAAAATTAGCATAGGAAGATCTTTGCCCATCCCAGATCAATTTACCCTACCCAACGAGAGACTCAAAGGCATGTGCTCCTTGGATCAATAATCAATAACAATTAAACATCACAATATACAACAATATTTGAAGGATGAAGGGCAATAAAAAGGTAAAGCATAACATCCATTGTGTTATACTTGTATGAGACCACAGGGTAAAATATAAAGCACAGGGCATCCTAGGATAGTCCCAAGCAGCGTTGGATAACAAGGAATCGGGTCAAAACATCGAAACTCACAAGGGTGCCAAGCTCAAGTGAGGTCCGTTTGACACACCTCGCTGAGTCTATCGAAGTCTAGGCCGAGTCCAAACAAAGAAAACAATATATTAAATATTGGGAAACAGCCAAACTCAGCCGGTTCCCATATGTTTGGTTCCACAATTGGCATGGGTGCCAAGCCCAAGTGACTTGCGTGAGTCCGAGTGGACTTGCCCAAGTTTGCAAACAATGGTACCAGGGTTAAAGAATTTTCCAACATCCCTCATTCTAAAAATTCACAACACCACAGTCCCATATTCTAGGATGTGAAGTTTGAATCCAAAATTTCTCTAACAAAATAAAATACAAGATTTTGATATACCCCAAATGTCAATATAAGATCAACAAAGTCGACAAGGGTAAGAGCTAAGAAAATAATAGGGCGATGTATTTAGAATCATAAGGGAAGATATTAGATAATAATTGGGTGCTCCAGCAAAAAAAATAAAGCATAAAAAAATAAAAATATATGGGTGATTCACCCTATACAATGAGAATGAAATAGGAAGAATCATCCAGAAACATGAGGTAAGAGATGATAATCATCTCATGGACACTCCTCTTGAGTCTAGACCAATGTTGGAAAACTCGACCAAGGACTCTTCCAAGTCCTTTGCTCTTGGCACCTATGCCGAGTCAGAAACCAAACATATGGGAACTGGCCGAGTTTGGCTGGCTCCCAATATTTTATATATATTTTTGAACCAGGCCAAGTCCTAGGTGGACAAAGTGGAGATCTACTTCTAAAGCTTTATGTGAGAATCACATACCAATGAAATTGAAAATGAAGTTCTATAGGATGGTTGTAAGACCAGCCTACTCTATGGGACGGAATGTTGGCCACGAAAAAACATATTTATAGAATGAGCGTAGTTGAGATGATGATGTTGAGATAGATGAGTGGCAATACAAGGAACGATAGGATTCAGAATGATTGAATCAATACATTGTAAGGAACTTAGGGGTAGCTCCAATAGGCGACAAAATGAGAGAAAGGAAACTTAGGTTGTATGATAATGTGCAGGGTCGACCTAGAACAACACCTGTTGGGAGGGTGATTTAATCCAAGTGGAAGGCTCTAAAAGGGCAAGGGAAAGGCCCCAAATGACATGGATGGAAGAAGTGAGAAAATATATGGTGACTTATAGTCTGACTAAGAGTATGGCCGTTGATAGAGTAGAATTACAAAACATGATTCATATACTTGATCCCAAATAGTTGGGATAAGTCTCGAATGATGATGATGATGACTAGGCCGTCGTCTCAAAATGGACTTGGCAAATTTTGTCAGACGTGACTTGACCTCGGCCGCCTAGCAAGTTCCAACCAGAGTCCTTGCTATCCAAAACTAGGCTAGACAATGAGGAAGACTAGGAGCAATAATAATCCAACAACGGAATGGTGCATTACAAAAGTGAGGTAACCCAAAAATGGGAAGTAGGGTACAATAATAGAGACACTGGAAAAATCGAGTGAAAAACTATTGTTACCACATTTGGAGACCAGAAGGTTTCCATTCAGCTAGATTACCTCGAACATATTTCAAAAGAATAAGAAAATAAAAATTAGAAAGCAATTCAAACTTTTATGAAAATTCAACCTTCAGGTTTGAAGCCAAAACATATTAGTGAGTATTTTTTGTTTCAAAATTATTCATTATTTTACCGCTAGGGCCATAGAATAGGGTCAAAATCTTCAGTTTCTTAACTCATTAACAAACATATTCCAAGTATCACGTCTAAGATCAGTTGAAACCAGTTAAATTGCAGAATTAAGCAACATTGTGGAATATCCTAAAATCGAAAGAATTGTATATGTCCTCATTTTCAACTGTTTGCTCTTCTCAATTCCCATTGATACGAAATTTTCTTTAATTGCTATCAGATCCTCTTGAGCTATTCAAATCATCCAAAAATCTCACATTGATATGATCACATTTCGAACATCAGTCAATAACATAACATTCAAACAATCAATCATCCATCCATAAAAGGACCACAAGAAATTAAACGAAAAGAAGCAAATACAGATGATCAATTATCCCCTACCGTTAGGGTAATCCTCTTCTGAAGAGATATCCTCGATATCATCCTCATTGTCACGGGACAGTTTGCACTTGACCTTAGAAGCACTCTGAGAAGGACCTCGTCTCAGTCTGTTCAGAACATGGACCGCAGGTTCAGGTTCCGAGCTCTGCAACTCTTTCACCAAATCCAGCGATGAATTGGGGCGTTTTGGATAAAAAACCTCAGCTTCATTGCTCCGAAACTGTTTTGGGGAATCAGGTGATGAAATGATGAGTTCAGGTTCAAATTCTTTGGCTTCATAGGTGAGGGAGCTTGCAATTAGGGTTTGAGGTGTAGCTTCTGGGTCCCGTCTTGCTGAGGATGGAAGATCACCAGCGTCCAATTCAATGCCTAGTGAAAACGAAGGGGCTTCGAAATCCGCCACGGATTCGCATAGTGAAAAGGAAGGGGCTTCGATATCCGCCATGGATTTGCAGAAAGAGAGAGAGCTTGCTTAGATACAAGAATTAGAGAAGGGGGGAAATAAATATTTCAAAATTGGGGATGGAGGGAAGGATATTTTCGATAGTGAGTGAGAGAGGGAAGATCCTCCAGCTGCGGAGGAAAGGGAAAGGAGATAGTCCGCATCGTTTGGGAAAGAAACTGCTTGGATATCGGCCGATAAATGGCTCAAAGTAATTGGAAATGTTTAGACATCCGATTGTCTTAAGATTTATAGTTACAAACAACTTCGTACTAAATATAAACAGCCTCGTTGTATACTACTCCAACTGTATGCAATGACACCCATGTGTTTTGGGTAATATCAAGAGAAGTTTACACTAATGTGTTCTGGCCTTTATTCTTGAAAAAATAAATAATGTATATAGTGTGAACCCGCACCTCAAAACCTTGTCGCAAAAGGCTGTTTTGGTGCTGAAAACCTCACTAATTGATCGTTTTACCCTCTCGACCTGTATGTGTGGGAAAAAGAGAGAGAGAGAGAGAGAGAGTTTCAAGCGGTCTAGGAAAAATCCAACCAGAGTGTTTAACTTTGAACCTTCAAGGTTCACAATTGACGTTTGAAACCTTCTATTGGCAGTGAATTCTTTTGGTTTTTGTTCCAATCAACAACTTGATATTTGAGATATCTTTGTAAATTTTCTTCCAAACATCAACTTCAGATTTTGAAGGATTGGATTTTATGTTTGAAATAACTTTGAACCTTCATGTCTAATATAAGATTATGAGTAAAACAAAATTATTCTTCAAAGTTTCAAGGTCCAGGAGCAACTTGACCCCAAAAAAAAAAAAGAGATTAGAAAAATAGCATGTAAGGATAATATCAAACTTTTTCGGGGGATTTTCATAAGAATGTTTTTTGACAAAGATTACTATAATTTTATTGATCAACAAGTTAGAGGAACATCTACTGGAAAAATCTAGTTACAATGAACAAAAAACCAGGTAAGAGAAGCCCAGAAGACGTAGCACTCAAGCACTAAGTACCAATAAAAAAATCAGGGGAAGCCCCTGCATGACCAATTCTTCAACCTCTTCATTAAGCTCTCTACAAACATGCTCAAAGGAAACTTTTAACCTCCCACAAATGTCATGCATCTTAGAGAAAATATTAATTTATGTACGGATAAAAAAAGAAATGGCCAATTTTAGGTAAAAATTATGTGGAAGGTAGGTCAGTCTGAGTATTTTTTCAAATTTACCCTTTGGTCCGAGAAATCGAAAATGCAGCATTGCTTGATGTCAACTGCGTACCATTAAAGGAAAAATCAAGCGATCACCGACCAGTTAGATTGGACCCGGTTTCGGCCTATGTTAGTGACCAGCCGAGTATTTTTAAAAAATACATAAAATCTCAAAAAATAAGGAATTTTGTTTTTAATGTATTTTTCAATGTTTTCATCATTATGGCAAAGTTTGGAAATTGTTTTGGCCATTAATATTATTTTACATTTTTCTATTATTTTAAAAAAAATTAAAATACCCCTAGGCACAAAGCGATTATTTAAAATCTATTTTTTCATTAATTTTCAATTTCATTTGGATGTGAATTATTTATTCATCTTTAAGTATATTTTTTATATTTTATTAATTTTTTTCTATTTTTTTAACACTATTTTTACTATCCAAGACTTGTCCGGTTAGAATGGTTGAATCGACTAGTTTACCGATTAAGCCGGTTGAACCGCTTCTAAGCCCATATCCCATTAACCATTCCGGTTCGATTTTTCCAATAACCATTTAAAGCCAAGCCTGATTCCTACAAACCCAATTTTTTGCTGAGAGCTTCTAGAGGCTTCTATATCAGATAGATATAAAAATGTTGTTGCTTTGATATAGAAACCGGTCTAGGTTGCTTTATGAATGAAATCTCATGGCTTAACTTGTTCAAGTATGAAATACCACCTAGTACCCAGTTCAAAGGAGATACCAAAAACACATAAAAAGACCCAAATTTCTTAAGATTTCCCATCTTCCATCATACTGTAGCTCGACCCTAGGCATCCTGAAACCCTTCCTTCTTCAAACCCTAATTTGGCTTAGTATCCTTGAAAAGCCTACATCTGGCTCTTACCCTAATTTTGTTTGCTTCTTGAGTCATTCAAACCGTAAATTTACATTTAAATATTAAAATTCTTCATGATTCAATTAATTTCAAGCTTCTTTTCTTGAGTACCTAGCTTGTGGGCCCATCTTAATAAGTTTTTCATCTTTTCTTTTTGATTTTATCAAATTTGCTATCTTTCATGTTTTTTAGTTGATTTTAACCATATTAGATCTGTTTTTGTTGGAAAAATACAAATGTATAAGTTTCTTTTAAGTTTTCAGGCGAAATCTTGCTGCGGCAGCTGTCAATCAATAGTAGAGAGTCATAAAGATCAATTCCATGCAAATCATTGTTTGACTGGACCTAGATTTTTTAACAATTTCAACATTATGGTTTTCTTTAGTTTCCAAACAAATTTGACAAAGGGGGATCTCATAATCCACACAAATTTGACAAGGGAGATCTCACAGGCCTTCTTTAGATGAACAATAATTTCATGCGGGGTGGACCGCATTTGTACAATATGTGGTCTTGGGCTATAAAGCATCCATCTTAAAGATGGATGCAAATACGTGGCTCGTCTAAAAACAATTGTAACTAACTGTTCAAATGTTTTTTAATATCATCAAAATTTATTTATTTATTTTTATTTATGATCTCCATGTTAAAGATTATATATTCTCTAAAAACTAGGATAAAATTATATTTAAAAAATATATTTATTGTCAAGCCTGCATTTGTACATGTGATGGCTTGGCTGCATGCTAACCGCGTCCTCTTTAGATTTGTGAATAAAGTATAAGTAGTTCACCGCACTACCGTGGGCTAGTTAAGTAAGATATCACCTAAAAAGACCAAATAATTGGGATAAAATTTGGATGATGATTGTTTCTTACAATTTTAAACATGCATACTGAACAAATTTCAAAGCCTAGAACATGATTCGTGACTCTAGAGAGAGCATTTGAGTTGCCAAGCCAATTTTGGGATTTTTTATTCAAATGAAAAAGAATTTTAGCTTTTATTCCAGGCTGTTTCTTTTATGTTTCAAGCTGCGTTGGTAGATAATCAATTGGGGCATAAGAGTAGTCCTTATTTTTAAAAAAAAAAAGAACCAGAAGGGAAAAAAAAGAAAAGATATAAATCATGAACGTAGTTCTTGGGTATCAGCTACTGGAGCAATCTTGAGTAATGCGATAAGGATTTGGATACTTTTCTTGTTGCATGCTCTGGTTTTTTATGTTTTATTTTTTTTATTCTTTTGAAATATTGCCAGCTATAAATCAAATTTTTTGATAAACTATCTTTTATGTACTTTTTCATATTTTATAAATTTTTTATGATTTCTATTGCCTATTTTTGACGTTGCTGACTTTAAATTATTTTTAACAATTTTTTATATTTTTTTAGTTTATAAGCATATTCTTAGATTCTTTTAAGTTACCCTGCTCTGACCAGGCCGAGTACTTCAGCCTCGAGCCAGGGCCGAGTATGAGGACCGAGTTGAGTTTATGAACATTGGTGGTCAAAGTTACGTACTGCTCAAAAAGTATGGGATACTTCGAACTTTGCTAAATATTTCTATTGTACCCCAAGATGTCCTCCTTTGTATATAACACATGGAAAGAAACCTTGAAATTTTAACAGTGTAACTCCCACTCAGAGGGCAGCACAACAGAGCACCAAGCAAAATGGATGGTTTTAATGCACATCCAAGTGTGGAGCATGGAAGAAAGGTGTATAGAGCTGCCACCAAAGGGAACTGGAGAATCATAGACAGGTCCTTCAACAACGAACCCCGATTACCAAAATTCCCCTATTTCACCATCAGGAGACACAATTCTCCACCTGATTGCGCAATGCCGTCAAGCGAAACTCTTGTAAAGATCCTAGATGTGGCAACAGAAGACGCCTTGAGTGCCACGAGTGATGAGGGGAACACTATACTCCACGAAGCAGCAATAGCAGGGAATATAGAGATGGTAAGAAGAAGCAAAACTTGGTCACAGTTCGAAACCATTGTGGCGAGACACCTTTCTTGCTGCTATCTTCGGTCGCAAGGATGTGTTTGCACATCTAGCAGTGGAACCGGAGATGATGGGCCGGAGGAGTGAAGGTTGTCTAAGAAGGAATGATGGTGCCACCATCGTTCATGCTGCCATGGTTGGAGAATTCTATGATATGTGAATAGAAAGTGATGTGCTCATTGAACTTTTACTCTTTAACATTCACACAAAACTACACACATAATATATATGGTTGATGCATTATGTATGTTTAAGAAGAAGAATTTGATTGAAGAAATTGGAAAAAGATAAAGAGGATGGCTTCTAAGTGTTTTCTGCTGAACAATTGAAAATGCCATTTTAGATAGTTCGGTGGGGAAGGGTCCTCTACCCTAAACAACCGAAACACACACATCCAATTTATTACCAAAATGCCCTCACGTTTTCTTCCTTTGGATAAACAACTTTTAGTTTAGAAAAGTTATGGCATTAGTTGGGCCTGAATGGTGCATTTTGAAAACAATGAAATCACACGGCAGTTCAATATAAACTACAAACATATTATTAAAAAGGAAAGGTCTCTATATTTTTCCTATTGTGTAGTTGATATATACCCCCAAATCTAGCCGTCCAATTTAGATCAAGCGAGCCATTGACCGTTTGAACTACGTTTGATCTAGATCCAATGCTTTACAGTATTTTATTTTGAATCGGTTTTCTACAAATTATATGAATATGAAATTCCACAGGTCCCATCATCTCAATGGGGCGTACCTAAAACAAATATAAAAAAATATTTTCGATAAAATAAAATAATCAAAATACCCCGTAAACTTCAAAAGCATTTTAGACATTTTATTTTATTGGAATTTTTTTTATATTTTTTTATCGGTGAAAGTTTAAGACAAGAGTGGACGCCCAACTAATGCAGTGTAGAGGCGTGACCTTGTAATTGGGGTCATCTCATAAGTACATTCAGAATGGACGGTTGGATAGGGGGAAGTATATAAGCTTTATCCAGTAGGAGAAGTATATAAGCTTGCCCTTATTAAAATGAGATTGTCTACCAATATACCATTTATCTTTATCACAAGGAGGTCACAACTATTTTTACTCAATAGATGTTCAATTGGATGGTTTGGAGTGAATCATTAAGTCCAAGAATTTTTTTTTTGAAACTTTGTATCTATTCAATAACATTCTTACAACCACTTATTTTAAAATTTAAAGAAAAAAATGATTAAGACCTCCTTATACAACAAGTAAATAGTCTCTTTAACAATCCCTATTAAAAATTATTATTTCTTTATTGCAGATTTGGGAATGGAGATACTAAAGCGGTATTCAAGTCTTGCGTTTGCACCTGACGAGAAGGGGCATCGCCTTTGCACATAGTGGCAACCTCACAAAAGGCATTCAAAAGTGGGACCATCTATTATCCCACGAATATTGGGGTTTCCACCTCAATTATCATGGAGACTATTGGAAAAGTCATCTATACAAGTATGTGGTTATATTAATGTTTGAAAACATGTTAATTCTAATTGGAATCAGTTGATCTGGATTGAGATAGGTGGATGGGCCATAATCGCTTATTTCCCACTATTTTTTAATTTTTAATTATTTTTTAAGTTATTTTCTTAGCTGATCCAAATTGGAATTGCCAATCGTTAGAGGGTGACCGAGATGGCCAGCCTATCAGGGACTTTAAAATAATGGCTTATATAATGCATAATTAAGAATGATATATATACATATGTGGGCGCTACGAAAGCACAAGTACATATACATCTAAGTTGTATTTGTATTTTAATTTTATCTCTTTTCCTGCCTATTGAATTAAGCTCAAATTTGGTATTTACATATTCTCACCATTATAAACATGAAAAAATGTTCAAAAAACAATTAAAATAAATAATATCACTAAAGGAACCTGAATAGTTTCGGGGCAGTTTGGTAGTTTTATTTCTTTTATTATTTTTTTTGAATATTTCTTATAGGAGTAAAATGATAGAAAGTATGAACATACAAAAAAAAAAATATTAAAATATATTTTGTATTAAAAAATAAAACTTGATTGTAAAATGTGAAATACGTGAAATCATTTTTCACTATCAAAATAAAACAGCATTTATATGTAAATTTCCCTTGTATTTTTTGAATGAAATCTCATTCACCATTTACTCTGCACATCATAAAAATATACCCACCTAAAGGCACCATAAATATTCAAGGCCAAATAGTGGCTTGCCCCCAAGGTCAAATGTAATGTAATGGATGTGTAAAGGCACCATGGCTGCGTATGGCTCAGTAAAAAGAACCCATGCATGCATCGCACAAACGTCTGGCATTGTTGTGCATATATGAAAATGTGTATTATTATGAAATCTCAAAGTACTTTTATTTTTGTTTGAATGAGTGTAGTATTGTCTTTGTTGGGATATGAAAGAAGGCCAATGGCAAAGGAGACAGTCGAGGAGCTTACGAAAGAAAGACTAATGTGATCTTGTTGGGGACTTTTTTTTTTTTTCATCCTTTTTTTTATTTTTTCTTTTTTTTTTTGGCAAAGATCACTTACAAAGTAGTCTTATTACAATAATTATTGCTTCAAAGAAAATAAAAATAAGAAATTCAAGATCTTAAAAAAACTTTGACGTCATTAAACCAATTTTTTTTAAACAAAAAAAATATCCACAATTCTTATGCTTGAGAATATAAAACCAATATAATTAAATATAGCAAGAAACAAAGAAAAAAGAGTGCCAAATATTATCTCAACCGGGCATATTACACCCCACACTGAGTCACCAACATCCGATGGGACGGGATCAATGGTTTAGCTTCAATCTCGAACATAGAAAGCAAATTTCGGCAAAACTGAATATTCACCCTTAAATCTCTACAAACTCTAACCCCCAAAAATTTCTTGGCTTATATTTAATTTCTTAACCCTTAGTATTTTTAAAGCATGAGAGAGAAAGTGGAAGATCTAGGGTTGGGGCGTGCCCCTCTAGAGGCTTAGGAGAGAGAACCCTTAAATCTCTACAAACTCTAACCCCCAAAATTTTCTTGGCTTACATTTAATTTCTTAACCTGTAGTATTTTTAAAACATGAGAGAGAAAGTGGGAGATCTAGGGTTGGGGCGTGCCCCTCTAGAGCCTTAGGAGAGAGAGGGTTAAAGAGAGAAAGTTGGACAGACAGACCTAGAGAAGAGAGAGTGGGGCGTGCCCCTATGGGAGAGAGGCGAGAGAGAGGAGAGAGAGTTGTGGGAGAGAGAAAAGTGTTGATAATAGGGAGAGGGTGCACCCCTATTTATAAAAAAAATTAGGTTTAGGGTTTCTTAGGGTTCCTCATAGTTTGTCTCTTTCTTGATATTGAATACGGATTGTTGATCAAGGTGATTTGTAGAGTTAGAGATTTGAGTCATCCATTCTATAGATGGGCATTAACATTATGGAAGGTGCTTGGATCATTATCTCCCTTTCCTTAAACCATTTTCTCATCAATATATTTAAATAAATTGAATCTTATTTAAATATTATTTATTCCATAAAATAACATATTTTTTCTCATACTATTCGAAGATATGTCAAGTCAAGATATGCTTTCAATATTTAGGATAAGATGTGGTCAATCTTTTCCATATCCAATATTAGATCACATGCCACAAGATACATTTCCTAAATTTGAATAACTTGACAACAAGGCAAACAACTAAGAGGTGGGGTGTGCCACACATGGGTGGCACGTGTGGGTCCCACCCACATGGTACATGGTGGGCCTATGTGCACTATGGGCCCCCATGATATTTAACAAATTAATTTCTAAAATATTATTTGAATTTTATACTTTTGTAAAATCAATAACTTTATTTTTATAAGTCCAAAAATTATAAATAAAATATCAAAAGACTCATAAAAATTCAAATAATAATTCTAAAGAAATTTCTATCATAAAAAAAATATAATTAAATTAATATGATGGGAAATAGATCCATATGGTTTAGGAATTGAATTAACAATCATGGAACATTCCACCATCAATTGTGGACAATAGACCACACTTAATTTATCAGACCGACGCAGTGTTTTTCATGACCCACAGTCCAAAGAGGGGCTCATTAGCGGGTCACCAAAGTCTGGCCGATGAGCCAAGGGGTCGCAATCCCAGTCTGTGGATTTCAGGTCATCTCCTAGAGACGAGTCAAAGTCAACAAGACCTTATGCGACCACAGATCTATGACGCATATGGATATCTCTCGCACATGCATACGTTTTACCCTAATGGATATCTAGCTTTTCCGAATGATCCATCGATATACATGCTGTGTGATGGATCATGGATAAGGTTTTAGCCCTGTCTCTGTAGGCCCACCATCACACACAAGGGTCACACAGTCCCTCGACTCATTCATCCATGCATAAGCTTCGACCTCATCAAGGTATATCCCAAAACCCTTCTCGGTTTGTTCTCTACGGCCAGATACTTTGGGTTTTCCAACCGATTGGCCCAGATCATCAAGCACAATTTGGTATCAGCAAACATTGTTTGCTTAGTATGGTTCACGAGGGACCACACTCCCACTGAGTTCATGTTCCACTAGATTATTTCATTTTACAAGCACTCGTAAGGCCACATAAACCCAACAGCTTCCCCATCCACCCCCGAACAGGATGATAGTTCCCGAAACACCATTCTTTGCCCCTTTGCGAAGATGCACAAATGGCTTGAAATCAGGTTTGTACTTCGTTGTTATATAAACTCATTTTTTTTTACTGTTAACGGCAAAAACAACAACAATCATCATTGTCATCACTATTGTTGCTGTTGTTGTTGGCATTGTGTTGTTATCGTTGTTATTATTGTTTTTTTTTTTCTTCTAAATTCAGTTTTTTCTAAATTTTTAAGCATGTTTCAAACTTTTTTAAGTTGTTTGAGGACTCATTTTACTTTCACTACATTTTTCTCTTTTTTCACATTTATCCCTTTTTTTTCTTTAATTTTTAGGGCCTTTAGGCCATGTGTAGGGCTCAGTAACTTGCCCCTTGGCCAACACGAAGCCTGGCACACTGCATATAATTGTGAAATGTAATCGCCATTTGGGATCCTTTCCAATATATTATCACAATTGGAGTTGCCTTTTTTACAGGAATCGGACTTATATATCAAGGTGACTGATCTCTCTGTTCAAATGTCTTATTCATAAGAAAAGATAAAATGGACATCTCTTACCTTCAATACTCCCATTAAAGTCGATCTCTGTGAAGTTCAAGTTCCCTGCAAAATTGTAAATGAGTTATATTGGAAACTATTAATCCTGCAGAATGCCCATTGATTGGACAAGTTTATCGGACCAAGCAAAAGCATGAGTAGACAGGAAAACTTGCAAAGCAATTGGTGCAAAGTGACTCGAAGCACAGCTATGAATATGAGGGAAAAAATCCATATAAGAAGCATAATTCGACTAATGTTCTTGTTGATGGCGAATCAAAGGAGAATGGGGTAGAAAGTCCCCTGATTTTGGCTACAAAGAAGGATATAGTTGAGTTAGTGAGACAAATCCTTAAAGTTTTCCCGGAGGCCATAGAGTTCTTGGATAAAGATGGAAAGAGTATATTGCACTTGGCTGCAGAGTACAGAGCAGAGAAGGTATTCAAAATGTTGAGATCGATGGGAGCACCAGCATCAATTATGGTGTTGGGCATTGACAATCAAGGGAACTCTGTTTTGCATCTTGCACCTAAGCTTCAATGTTATCGACCTCCACATATACGTTGGAGCTCGAAACATATGCAATGGGATTGTGGCTCAAGGTAAAACCTGAGTTATTCAGACATTTATGGACGTGGAAGGCAAAAAAACAAAAGGCTTCAAGCTCAGAAATTTTACTCCATTGCTTCTTTTTGAACTACTTTAAAATTTCATACAAATTTCCGAAGGGGTTGCTTTTCCTTTGGATGGGAGAAACACCTGTACTTAAATTATCACAAAGCATTCTTATATTTTTAAATTGAAGGCATAGTTGGCTTCCACCATAATTTTTCCATTTTAATTTAAGGGATTAACATTCTCTTGAGATTAATATAATGTTTTAAATGATGGATCTCAGTTTGTTTTTTTTTTCCTTATGAAGGTTGAAATATCTTTTTTGTGCCTCATTTGAGCATGTAAATCATAATGAGAAAAAACAAACAACTTTGCAGTGGATCCAAGTTATATTTGACGCATTTTCTAACTTCATTACTATCGTCATCCAAGTCTTATCCCAATTAGTTCGGGTCGCTATGTGAATCATGTTCCTCCATTTTTCTCTATGAAGGGCTACACCTTTAGTAAGACCAATGGGTTCATGAATCATGATAACCTGTAGCAAAATTTCACACTGCTGCCTACGTAACGCAACGCAAATCTTTCATCCGGGCTCGGGACGGGTTAAGGAAAAGTTTAAGGTCCTCACCCTTATTAGATCAAACACATTTCCTAAATTTATTCATTTAAGAAGTCATTCAATTGTTTCTTTTAGTTGATGTCATAAAAATATTTTAAGAATAAACCCAAGCCATCTTCTAAGAAACGAGTATAATAAAACTGAAAAAAGAAAAAGAAAAATTGAATGGTTGTGAAGTAAATCCTACTATGCAAGTATGCTTAGTCTTTCTACAGAGTGTAAAGCATGTGTGCCCCCCTTGCATAATTTCACATAAGAACATGGATGATCAAACAGCCCAAGAATTGTTCACAGTTACTCACAAGAGCCTCTTGAAAGAAGGTGAAAATTGGCTCAAAGACGGGGCAAAATCCTGTATAATTGTGTCCACGCTCATCGCCACCATTCTGTATGCCACATGCTTCACGGTGCCCAGAGGCAACCAACCTAATGGCCTTCCTACCTTCTTATATGAACCGAGTTTTAGACATTTCATGGATTACTTGGAGCGGTCCCTTTTCGCCTCCTCATTATCCTTGGCATTTTTCACCTCAATCTTGACCACACGATGTGAGGAAGAGGACTTCTATTTTATGCTCTGTCAAGTACATTGTTGACTCCACCTCTCTGTGGGTATCAACAACAGGTGGTGTCGCCATCTTTTCTTATTCCTACATTCTTGTTACTAATGGCATCTACCCTAATTCACATTTGATTGGTAAGATATCCTTCTTCATTTCAATGTCTGCCCAAATTTTCATCTATATCGATTCCTTATTATCCACAATTATGTACTATGTGTTTATCTTGATTGAGGATTGGGTTAACAAGAAAGGGTTTTAGCAAGGTTTTTTTTTTTTTTCTTCTAAGGAAGAAGCAGCTTCTGCTAGTGGGTTGATGAGGAACTTGGAGACTGATCTGAATTTCACAATTAAAGATTTGTTTTCATATAAGACTGGGTTCTATCATCTATGTTTCGGTTTTACTGGTTTCATTGAATGTGTGATGCCTGTGGATGATTAATAGAAAGCTTTATAATGAGCATAGTTGTTGTTTTGCTTACTGAGTCTCCTACTATTTGAATTGCCCTGCGAGGGAAGAAAATGTTTAAACAAAATTGAATGAATTTTGCCATCACTTCCAACACTTTTTTGGGTGAAATAAGCATCCAATGTTTGGGAAAAAATTAAGGGAATAATTGTTTCATGCGGGCTGGACAGCATTTGCAGTCCAGAGGTATAAAGCGTCCATCTTAAATATGGATGCAAATGGGTGGTCGATCTAAAAACAATTGTAACTAACGGTCCAAATGTTTTTTTAATATAATTATTATTTCTAGTTTTCAACTTTACTTTATTTTTTCATATTCATGATCTCCATGTTAAAGATTATATATTCTTTAAAAATTAGGATCAAATTGTATTTAAAAAATATATCTATTGCCACACCTGCATTTCTACAATATGCAGGCTGGCCGCATAGAAACTGTGTTCAAAATTAAGATAGAGAGAGAGAGAGAGAATTATAAAAGGTGATTCTCAAGATGGTTTAGAATTTTGGTAGCCTGTGGCTTTTGGTTCTTTATGGCTTGGGTTCAATATTTTTGCCTTCATCCTCTTTTGTGTAAAGAGATTAACAAAAGTGAGAGAAACCCCAGTTTATCTATTCTTAAGCTTCTAGTTTATCTTTATATATTTGCTTAAGCTTCTAGGTTAACAGAGAGGGAGGAGGAGGAGGAGGAGGAGAAGTCATTTCTTTTAAGCCTTTCTCAAGGATTTTATAAGAGGTAAAAGTCATGAGAGAGAGCCTCAAACTAGTAGTTAATTGTTGAAAAATATTGTAAGCTGAATATTTGTGCATAATGGATTGTATTTGCCCCATGAATTTTTTCCTTGTGATGAGGATTTTCTACATAAAATCATGTACTTCTTTCTTTTCTCTATTTTAATTTGGAAATTTAGTATATCATTATCTTCTTGCATACTTTTGTGGTGGTTGTTTTACCCTAGTCTCGTCCACATTTCATGCATAGACAGGAAGGCTGGGTCCTAAACGTGCTCCTCACTACAAATTGATTGAAAACTAGAAGAAGAACCCTCGGGTCTAGCCGAGCAGGGGACGTTAGTATTTGTTTGTGGAATGTCAAGGTTTTGATATTTGAAGTTTGTCTTCTAAAGACAAAACTAAGATGAACTATTCTTTTTAAGAATTGAGCCTTGAACTTCATTGATACAAGTGTTCATTAAGAGGTGGAATGGTCTGGGCAGCTCGACCCTAAAAAAAGTATGGCCTAGGTCATAAAATGTTGCCCAAGGGCCGGTCAGGGCCGTAATAGGGATGGCCTGTTTCATCCCAAGTCGGCCCTTTTTTTTTAAAATATTCTTTTATTTTATTTTTTAAATTATATTTAGCTCCACCGGCCTAAGCTAGGGCCTTATCGGGCAGGTCCGGGCTTATGCCAACCCTAAAGCGGGGCTTGAGCTAGGGCTGACCCGACCCATTGCCACCCCTAATTGTCATACCTCTTCTCATGTTTCAAATCCCATTGGTGAGATATCCCAAATAAATAAAGAAAATCCTCTCTCTCTTCTCTCTCGCCACAAACACAAACGTGGCTAACTTTCATAATATAGATATCTCGAGTTCATCTTTGAAACTAGATTAAGCGGAATGTCTAGATTATTTGAATTTTGTGTTCTTTGAGAATTAGATTGAAAGAAAACAAATTAGGTATTTGATTCTCCCCATTTGAGGTTTTATAGCTATAATATGGTTTCCATAGTTTTGAAGCACAGATCAATGTCCCATTTACATCTCTACAAGCACACTTCAACTTCTCTAAATTTATACAAAGAAAATGAGGACCCGGTTTCCATGGGGCTAGGCTCGTATATGTAAAATGCGGGCTTCTTAATAAATCTACTTTTGAGATGAATTTTAAGACTTAATTTTTAAAGACATGTAATCTCTAACATGGAGTTCATGAATATGAAAAAATAAAATACATTCTACAAACTAAAAGTAATAATTCTAGTAAGAAAACATTTGGACCATTAGTTTCCATTGTTTTTAGATGGAACACCTACTTGCATCCATCTTTAAGAAATATTCTTTACACTTTTTGGACGGCATATGTAGAAATGAGGTCCAACCCGCATGAAACAATTTTCCAAAAAATAAAGATGTTTACTGAAAAGATGAAAACTATGGCATATACATTGTCATTTCATTTTGATATGATTCCTTCATTTGGATGCTTGTTATCTTTATGGAAGTCGGAATTCGAAGGTAAGTATTTGAAGTTCATTATGGTATCTTATAAGAATAATCCTCTCTCATTCTTTAAAAAAAGTTTATATAAGGGCGAAACCTTAAACAATCAAATTAAGGTGAACATCAAAAGTTTACTAAAAGAAGTTGTTTGGATGTCCAGAAATCCTCAAATTGATCATCTCGACTTCAAGATGTATAGATATGAAAAAAATGGATTTCAAATCTTGGAAATAGTGCATCACATTTTTGGATCGTCAATTTTCAAGTTTCTCAAGTATTCATAGATTTGCTCGATCTACACTATTTTTTAAGCTTTAAATTTGATAATTAGATATGAAAATAAAATTTCAAGCCATCACAAAAATTTTCAGTATTGAAACAACATCTTTCATCACTATTTGAAGATGCGCCTTACTTTGATTGTTTAGGGCCTCAGCCTTATATATCCCTTTTAAAGAGACATTGGGGTGGTTTCTATAGTCACCAAAGGAGAGGAGTGTTGTGGCATTACCTACTTGCTTTAAGCCATTTCTAGACTATATGCATTAATATATTGCAATATGTACCAAGCCTTGAGTATTTGAAGAGTTTTATGGGGTTCAAAATGATTTAAATCCCTTTATGTTTGCATGTAGGCCATAATTATTATTGCAATTGAGTGTTTGACTATAATTCATAGTGTGCATTAAAATTTGGCTATGGATTTGTTTTGTGCAGTTGTATTTTGCTATCGAGCTATTCTATAAATTGATATGTGTCCTCTAGATCCAATTTGTGCATCGACATATAACAATTCATTTTGTAGCTAAGTATTTGAGCATTAGGGATGTCGGATCCATACAACTACCCCACCATTAAATACTCGTTAGAACTTATTTATCTTTTATGCACAAAACCCATATTTAGTCCTACTATTAGGCCTTCTATGTTGGTATCTTGGCTTTGAGAAAATACGACATATTATTTTAAAATAATATTCTTTTGTAGATCTTAGTATTTGAAAAGTGTAGTGTACAGGAGGGAGGGAGAGAGAGCATCGGCTTTTAGGCCCCCCCCCCGCCCCCCACTAGAGAATAAAATAAAGGATAACAGATGGGAGTGAAGGCCTATGTGAAGCAATGAAGTACCCAACATGCCCATGTGTCAGCGTAAGAGCATTTGAGATGCACTTTACATTTGTCCATACGAAAAGCAATTTTAATAACTTATTGCGAGATATCTAGATAAGGGTATGTTGGAAATTTACCATGAGTGGTCCAGAGGAGCATTATCACAATTTGCTACAAGAGTCCTAGAGAACGGCATTATCATAATTTGCTACGAGAGTCCTAGAGAAGGGCAATTTCAAAATTTAGTGCACTAGAACTTCCACCCATGCGTTGTGTGCTGTTTGGAAGCACAGATGAGTGCCAATTTGCATATGGTGATACTCCGACCACGACGAACAATTTAATTACATTTTTCACTGGAACATTTCACTTTGAGGAACCTATAGAGCCTTCATGAAACCGAAATTGTTGAGCATTCAGTTGCATTATGACTGTTGAAGTTGGGAATCAGAGTCTCAACTATTCATCTTTGAAGGGCATTGGATGGTCATTTTGGATGAAGTTGGAAGGGCGTTCACGAACACAAACTTCTCTTTTGCAGATACGGTTTTTGCATAGGGATTGTCTACAAAAGAGATCATTTATTTTATTACAATAAGGTCACATCTATTTCTACTCATTAGATGTCAAATTGAATGATTTAGGATAAGCGAAAAAGTTAGGAGAAGTTTTTTTAGAATTTTGTGTCTATTCAATGATACACTTACAACCATCAATTTTGAAATTTAAAGGACCCGAGTGATTGTGACCTCTTTGTACAAAAAATAAATAATCTCTTTGTCGACAATCCCCTTTGCATATTGTTTTTTCAAGCTCATTTATATCTTGTGCAAACTTTCTCTCTCTAAAATAAATCCAATCTTGGTGCTCAAGAGTTTGTTATACTTGTCTATTTGTCCATGCAAGATGCTGATGAATTTTTTGATTCCTTGTATTTCAATGGCAAATTCACTTAGGGGCCGTTTGGATATCTGAAAGTCTATTACAGAAAAACATATTACAAGGAAATATGAGATTTACCATGTTTGGTACACTTCAACAATAACAAAATTGAAATAAATTACATAAGATTTCTCCAAAATACATGAAATCTATTATGCGCAGGATGGCTGTGAAATCCATTATGCGTCTAACATGTAATCTAACTACACGCTGTGCCCAAAAAAAAAAAATTCCTCTATCTCCCGCCATTCTCCCTCTCTCTTGTGTACATCCATTTCTACTTTCTCTATAAACTCCACTTATAAGTTCCTACACAACTTGCGCACATCCATGTTTACACTCTCATGCGCACATAACAATAGTAAAACTTGTTAGAATAATGACAATTTTATTTTACGCTCTCATTCTCTCTTTAAAATGACGATGATTAGTGTACAATTGTGCACCCTACTATTTTCCCCACGTTCCCCCAAACACGTGCACAAGAAGTGCTACCAAATTGCCCTCCGTAAGAAGTTTAGTGCACATGCACACCACGCGCGCTCAACTCAAGGTGTGCGATTCTCATTAAAACCGTGTCGTTTTTTTGCGCACAATTGTCGCTGCTTGTGCACAATTGTGCACACTACTATTTGCCCCGTATTCCTCCAAACACGTGCACAGTAAGTGCCACCGAATTGCCCTCCGTACGAAGTTTAG